AAAAAAACAACTTTACTTCAGCCCCCAAGCCCCCCTGTTTTTTAAGTATATCAGTCAGAAACTGATTTTTTGACACTGTTTTGCCTTTGACGAAGACTGGGGAGTAAAGACAATCCCATCTTGTAGAGTTACAGCAGTGCAATTTCTCCTCACTTCATCTTAAAATGGAGAGGCAGGCAGTGACCAACTCAAGGAAGCCACAGCTGGTCTAAATCAGCTCCCACCACGGGTCCAGCAAGGGACAGACACAGTGGGCTAGTCCAGCTGCTCTGCCCTGCTGTCCCAGTGATCCTAAACCTTGTCTTTTTAAGCTAGCAGAGGTGTTGTGCGTCACTGCTGCATTATAAAGCCACTAGTGTGCACCACTGAATAGGAAATCCACCTATTCAAAACACCTAGACACTTAGTTTATTCAGAGAAATCCCTGCCTTGAGCAGTATTTCTCTTTATGAGGATTCCTGACTAGGTGGATTGACTTTCACAGGAAGTGAAACATTTTTTCCAGATCCACTTCCATTTACGTCTATGTAGGGGAGAGGGAATCCAAAGCAACCTTGCAATAATGTGCACACTAAGCCCTTGTTCTTACAAAGGGCCTTATACATGCTGGGAGGAGTATAAAGAGCTAGAAATGGATGTAATTCCTCTCCAAATTGCCAGAACTGTGCAAAGGGCCTCCTGAGTGGGAATAAAATTCGGGGCATAGCTGACAAAGTTGTGTTTCCAGATGATCCTTCCCAGAAGCTCTGGTTCCTCCGAAAGCACCAGAACAGGGGAGCTTGGAAGAGAATCAAGAGGGCAAAGAAGGGAGAAGAAAAGAAACATTTTATAGATCAATATCCCTGTCAAAGGCAAATATTTTCTCCTGTTTTGCCTGGCACAGACGGTTTTGGAGGGGATATTTTTAGAATACGCTACATGAATTTTTGATTACCTTAAGAGATTTATTTTCTGCCAAAACAAAGGGATCATATTTCTCTAACCAGAATGTGGCACTTACTCTGAGGACAGCCAAATCTTGCACATAATCATTGAGGTCATATGCAAATAAAAGGCACCATACTTCGTGCAAATTCCCATTTTAGCTATTCTTACAATATTTCTCATTTATAATAGTGTAAGTATTTTATGAAAAGCTCTCTGGGACCAGTCTATTAAACCATAACCAGCCTGTTTTCCTTCAGCTCCTGCTGAGGAACTGCCTTCAAGGAATATTTTGAAATGTAAAAATTAAGAAAAATAAATTAAAATGCTTTTTAGCAGCTTAGTTTGAACTCATCATTTAACTGCAGTAATATCTGTAATATCTTGTTCAACTGCCATGGTCCAGCAGTGATGGTGCCAATGGGGTGGGAAACATGGGAGGAGGTCCCTGTGCTGGTTCTTGTTGTCCTTCAAGTGACCAAACACTACCATGTGCTGCAAAAAATGGGGTGCACAGCCCTGCTAATCCCTCAGTACAGCCACTGCATTTCTGTCCTCACTGTCTGATCACTCCCCATTCCCTCATTCTTCTCCTCTATCCTGCCCCAGCCTTCATCAAATTTCTCTTTTTTTGTCTTTTCTCTGCAGAAAACATTTGTCTGGCACAATAAAAGGCTTATGGGCAGTGCACTATCCCATGTGCTCCTGCCTGAGGAGGCCAAGGCAGGGGCTGCTGCACTAGAATATATATATTATAATATATATATTTCTATATTACTGTATTTCTCACATGTGACTACTGTAATCAGGGTATGGCATGTACCACCTACAGAATATTCCAAATCCACTGCTGGTCTAAAAGGAATTAATACCAGGTCTGAGGACATTCAGGTTATTGTCCCTGCTGACTTCTTTCTGCAGCCATACAAAGCTGCCTACTGCTCTTCTGAGCTGCCTTGTTCTGGCCACTTACTGACAACATGCAAAAGAAAGTACTGCCATGGGGAAAATAAACCCATCTTTCTTGTGTTATTTCAAGCAAGTGATTGCCTGTTTTAAACCTGTGCCCAAGATATCACTCTTTTTTTTTTTTTTTTTTTTTTGGCATAATAGGTGAGAGCAGTGGGAAGATTTTGAATACTTGCTTGGCCTTGTAGTATGGATTTTCTGAGCCTTCCTCTCTGTGGAAAATCTTGTAAATGTTTTTTAGCCACCTGCCATCTCTGTTTCGTCTTGCAGATGCTATTTCCACAATCACCACTTTGGAATTATCTTCCCACCTGTACTGCTCTGCTGCCTTGGGTCTTGCAAAATTGCAGACTCTTGTTTATGACACACCTTCCCCCCAGAGTTGAACCTGGTCCTTTTTCCTTATCTGAACGACAGAGCTCAACAAATAATTTTTCATGTCAGCCTGCACAGGCTGCCAGCTCTTCCAGTCATCACTGGCCTCCTGTTTCAACAGGACTGACAATAAAGAAGTTCTGGCTATTCCACTGCAATTGATAAAAATCTTTATTTCACGGGTAACAGTAAGAAAACTGCCAGGTGAATCAAACACTTCCAGCAGAGTGATAAGAAGCCCTTTCTGAACGGCTGGAATGACAGACCCACATTCTTCATGAGACAGATAAAACATCCTGTGCCAGTGCCATCTGGAAACTGCTCAAAATCACCAGCCCTGGTGCAAGACCTTCCTCCCTTGTTCCCATCCCTCCTCACACACGCAGTGGTCATGGAGTGTGGCAGGAATTGTTTTATATAGATGTTGTGGTAAACACTTCTGTCATGCTCTGTGAGCAATTTGTGACTTGTTTTCCTGACATGATCTGAAAGCAAAGACAGCTGACCCCTCTCCTTGGAACACTCCCTCTAGCCCTGATCACAGAATGGAATGGAACGGAGTGGAATGGAATGGAATGGAATGGAATGGAATGGAATGGAATGGAATGGAATGGAATGGAATGGAATAGACTATTTCTCTTGGAAGGGGCCTGCAATGACCATCTAGTACAACTTCCTGACCTATTCAGGGCTGACCAAAAGTTTAAGCATATCGTTAAGAGCACTGTCCAAACACCTCCTAAACACTGACAATTTCAGGGCATGCACTATCATTTTCTGTCTCACCCTCTTTCTGATTTTCTTGCTTCCCAGACAGAGACATTGTGGCATCTGAGAGGATCTTTATTACCTTCCCCCAAGTGCAGCCGTTTTGCCCAAGGGACCAGGAATGAAGGGACAAAGGTTTTCCTTGTGTGCAGCAGCAGACAGCCACATCCTGCTGATGGCAGATTGCAGACCCCTTGCACAATGGCAATAAATTCTCAGTGTCAGCTGGATGGAGAGAGCACCTGAACATGATAGTGGCACGTGGTGCTAGCACAGGGCCCTGGAGCCTCGTGACACACGTCCAGTGTGTTTCCAGTCACCAGATCCCACACTTGTGTCACTCACTGAATTTGTAAATGATAATGAAGGAAAAGGACCCTCTCCCTGTGCAAGGTTCCCTTTCACTCCCTCTCCACATTTGCACTCAGGCATTGCCTGATTTCAGCTTGTAATAGATACCAAATTGTCTAAATGAATCTTCGCTACAAAGCCACTCTCTAACTTTTGTTTCTCCTTTACTGACTGCCATCAGAACTGCTCTTTGCCCAAAAGAAAAGAAACAAGAATTGATTTTACAGAGGTCAGGCACAAGCACTGGTGCAGACGCAGAACATTATTTACTAACCCAAGGAGTGCAAACTGTTTTTGTTTGAACCAGTGGTCAAATTCTTCAGGGAAGTTTAGTACAAAATTACACCCTAAAAGCAGAATGTTTAGGTTTTCCACAGAAAGGCTCTGACTCTCTATGGCATTGTGTTGTTTTGCAGAATAATTTCTATGGAATATTTTCCTTTTTTAGCCCTATTTAGTTCTTTGATGTAACTATTAGGACTCCTAAGTGATTCCAAGACTGCTGCTGAGCCTCTTTGAGGACATATCAAAGGGTCTCTGAAGATGCAGGTTGTCACTGCTCTACCTCAAATAAGATGGGAATATCACAGTGTGGATTCACCTGTGGCTGCTCCTGGGCTGTTTCTAAATACCTGAACATCCCTTTTATTTTCTGTAGGCCTGCACAATGTTACTGCTGCAGAAAGGTAGCTCTAAACATCACATATGTCCTCCAAGAAAGAAACTGTGTTTTTCTCTTAATTTTCTGTGATGTCTCGGTCTTGTTTCTTCCTTGAACAGAATGGCTCAAAGGCTTTAGAAGGATACAAAATACAGCTTTCTGTCCAGCAGATTAGCTATATCTCCTCTTTACATTCCAGCTTTCAGAATTACAAGCCACTGCAGTATTTCTCTGGAGTATCAAACCCTCATGATCTGAAATAATTAAGCCTCCACATTTTACCAAACTTTCCTTCTGGGAGGAAGAGCTTCACAGGGGGGTACTAACTCCTCTGTCTCCTTTACAGGATCAGAGTCCATCTCCATTTTCATTGTCCCTGATGACTTCTCCAGCTTCATACAGCTGGCCCAGGCATTTCCAATAAATGTGATTAATAACTAAATTAATTGTCTGAATTTTCTTCCTTGTGGAAGGTTTTCTTCTAGATCTATATCCATTCTCTGAGTTGTTCCTTATCCAGTTTCAGGTGGGTTTTAGAAGTTCTCTTTGACTGGGCATTATAGGCCCTGCACTCTGTGTAGCAATCTTTCCAGGTGCTTTGGGTTTTGGGGTGGTTCGATGTGTGGATATATATATATGTATATATATTTGGGGGTTTTTTTGGTTTTTTTGTTTTTGTTTTACCTTGGCACAAAAAGTAGCATCCAAAATACAAATGTTTCATTTTTTTATAGACTGATTCTTTACTCAGGGAAGTGCCTCTCATTTTCCAAGTATGAAGAAGCTATTTGTCCCAGTCACATTTTATTTCTGTTTTTGGAACTGTTTGCTTTTAGAATTAGTGTGGCTGACATGTGTGCTATTTGCAATTCATTTATTATCCTGTGAAAGCCATTCCTCCAGTTTATTATTACTGTTTCCCTCCTTGTTGCTCACAGATGCCCCATTGTAGAGTGCATATAATAGGTTTTGGCAAAACTCTGACTTTTTTCTTTTTTTAAGATAATTCTGTTATTTAGTCTTTTTCAAAGACACTCCCAAGTTTACTGCCATTTTGGCTGGATGAGGTGATGTTGATTAGCAGTGATTGGTGTAATGTTCCTGCACTTCCATTTCTGCATATTTGGTGTGTGACATAACCTCTCCATCTTTTGTCTGGGAAGAGGTCTCTTGTTCCCCAAGCTTCTTCCTTGGGGTAGGAAAATGGAATATTCCTTCCCATGAGCTCTTCAGCAGATGCCATTTCATGGAAGTTCTCATTTGAGGCAGAAGTCACATTTTTGTGACATTTGTCACAATTTTGTGTTGTTACATCCAGGTTTAGATACTGATGTAGTTCCTGAGATGGTGAGGAGCTCTTGCTTCTGCTTTCAGAAAACCAAACTGGGAGCTCTGAGGTGGGTCTGGTGCTGACCTGCCTGCCTTCATGCCTCCTGCACAGTTACAGCCCTTTGGGAGTGTGAAATGTGACAAAATCTCCTCATAAAGCAAAGGTTCAAGAATCCATTTACAAAGAAACTACTGGAAAGACTTTAAAAATCACCTTTCAAGTATTTAGTAATTCCCAAAAGGTTTGGGCAATTTTTTTAAAATGGAATAATTTATTTTAAAAATGCAATTTAGTTGGCCAAAAATGACTTTGATATTTCAGCTGAATTCATCAAAGAGTTGCAATTGGTTAATATTTGGGGAATTATTTTCAACACGCAAGCATTCTGATGAAGTGATTAATTTCATCCCAAATATAAAGCCTACATTTTCTAAGGTGAACCTTAACCTAAACCTGGCTTTTGTTCCCCTCTGACTCTCTAGGAAACTTGAGTGAGGAGCTCAGGTGTAGATATTGACTGTGAAGATGTCTGTGGTTACAGGGATAAATCCCAGCTGAGTCAGGCAATGGGAAAATAGGTCCCTTTTGTTTAGCAGCACATAACAAGATTCCAGGAGCTTACACATTTTGTTGAAAAAAAGTCACAGGAAGAGACAGGTTGGGACAGACGAGGTTAAAAAAGTTATTTAAGGTCATTTGGCAGCTTAATGGCAGAGCTGAGGATGGAGCAAGGTCAGTGACTCACTCTCCAAGCTGAATTTCATCCCCTAATTATTGAGGAAGTTTCTTGGCCTTGGGCACGACTGAGAGAGGGGAAAGGCAGCCCCCCTGCAGGGGGCTGAGCACAGAGGAGACAGGGTGCATGCCAGCATCAAAGAGGTGAACGGCTCCTTGGTGTTCTTTTGGCCCATTATTTCTCTTTGGGGGCATTTTGAAAGGAATGATTTGTTAAAGGGGACTGGAAGGAGGCAGAGATGTAAACAGAGGGACTGGCAGGATGCTTTAGACACAGGAGAAACAGGGAAAAGAGACATAAGAAGGCAAAGAGAGCAGCAATCTGGACCATGAAGAAAGGAGTGGAAGGAGAGGATGATAATGAATTTGAAAGGGAATGGTAGCAGAACAAATACACACAGCAAAGACAGGGAAAGAATTAAAAATGCCATTTGGTAATTGAGTAGTTTCTGCATTAAATAGAGTTAAGATCCTGGAGATTAGAGAAAACTACAACTGTAATCAGTTCTTTGGAGTGTTCTTCAAAGGTACAGCCCTTGCAATCCATGCAGGCTCTGAGCCAGCCTTCCACCCAAGCAAGGACATGGAGCCAGGAGTGTGCTTTGGGCTGGGGTTTCAGCTTCAGACTGGCTAGTGCCTCTGTGTGGCCTTCCTAAATGTTTACATTGTGTAGATATAATCTAGAAGTAGTAGATGTAATACATTTAATTCTTATTCAAGAATATTTTCTGCAGGATGGTTGGAAAGAAAATGCATCTGCAGATGAGGGTTCTGCACATTCCCACTAAGAGGAATACTGTCAGGAAAGAAGGGGAGAGAGTGGGAGCCCATGACATGATATTGAACCTGAAATGTAGGAATCAAAAATCATCTGCAATAGAATTTATGGGAGAATTTGGGATTTACACCCAGAAGCCACAGTTACACACACAGAAAATTATTATTTCCTTCTCCCTCTCCAGGAGGCTGGCACTTGGCTTTCTTCTGTGATTCCCTGGCACCATCACATCCAGAAAGAAGACTGGCCCAGGTTTAGCACTAGTGAAGCTTTCTATAGAGCAGCAAGTAACTTAAATATGAAGAAAAAGTGGTTAACAATATATTCTGAGGTTTAGAACAGGAAGAGAAGGAAAGGCCCTTTAGATCACTGAAATGCTTTTTTTTCCCAGATGATTTTATAGGCATCAAAATGTTTTCTCAGCCTCTTTCTGGCTGCTACTTAAATTGTGGAAACTTAATCTCTGTGCCTGACAGTCTCTTTTGTTGTACTCACAATTTCAGGGGACCTGCAGGGGAAAAAAATTCTTCCTTTCTAATTCCCAAATTATGCACTATCTGCCTGCATGTAAATAATGACCCAGTTAAAAAAAAAAAAAAAAAAAAAGGCATTTTCTTACCTGCAAGGGGATGCAAGTCAGCTGAGAGGCAGCTTGTCCTTTCTGCTCTGAGCTTGGGTATTTGGGTGAGAAGAAGGGCAGAGGAACTGGTCTGACAGCACAGGGCAGCACCCGGGCAGCCTCAAGCTTTGGCCTTGTTCTGCACTTTAACAGCTTCTGTCCATCACCATTCCTGAGCCTGACATCCAAAAAAGGTTCACTGTTCTTCACTCAGTTCTTTCCCTGGGTTTCTGTCCGTGATCATTCCTGAGCCTGGCATCCAAGAAAGGTTCACTGTTGTACACTCAGTTCTTTCCCTGAGGAGGTGCCACTTGAGCAGGAAAGAGAGGGGTCAGGATTCAGGTTAAGCACTGTGGGGATTAGATGGTAGCAGGTGAGGAAGCTCTGCAAGGCTCTGATATCAACAGCCAGGGGCTGGCTGCCTGTGAGGTTATGGTCCCAGTGCTGGTGCCTTGCTTGGATTTTGGTTTTCACCCCACTCTGCATGAGCTGGAAAGTGAAATGGATGTGAAATGGAGAGAGCTGTGGAACCCAACGTCTTGGCTAAGGCATGAACAACCCCAAACTTTGAATCAATTCTGAGCCATGAGTCCTGTCCTAATCCAAGGTATTTGAGAAAATAAAATGAGATATTTGGAGACAATGTTGGAAGATATTTCACAGACGTGTTTTAACCTACAACTCTTCAACTCCTCTAAGGCAGGATCAGCTGGTCTCATGAACACTTAAATCATTCCTGCCTCAGCTGTTTATGAGACCCTCCTGGGGTGGAGGTTTCACAGATTCTTGAACAAGACTTCCTAGCACAAAATTAATCACATCAGAAGTCTCCTAGGGTAGCCAACCTGAAGTTCTCTTAGTGGGGTGGAAACCAATTACTCTTTGTCCTATCATCAGCGCACATGAAGAGCTGTTTGTCTTTCTCTTATCTGCAGCTGCTTTGTAAGTTCATTTCAGTCCTCTTATGTGAAGATTAAATAAACCATATTTCTGCACATCTTGTTTTCTACAGCTCTGACTGTGCTTTTTGTCCTTTTTCTGAACATCCACAACTGGTCTAGTTGATAAAGCTTATTTAGGAAAGAGGAGAAAACAAATAGTAAATACTTTGATATCCTCTTAGGATATCAAAATGGGTTGAATGGAAAATGGACAGTAAATTAAAGAAGTCAATACCAGGCCCCCCTCACTGACCACCTTTTCTCCTGCCCAGGCATGCTGTGCACCTCCATGCAGCTCCTTCTCCTTTTACTCCAGCAGCTGTGGGGTTTGTCAGCCCTTTTGTGGCAATTGCTTTAATTCTCTGAAATCAAAGCACCTGCCAGAGAAGTGGCTTGTTTTACAAATCCGAGGCCTATTGAAACATTTTAAGGAAAACAGTCGTTTCATTCTCTGAAGATACAGATCTTCTCCTGAGTCAGGGAGGGAAGATAAAGGGGGAAAGTTTGACATTTGACTTCACTCTGGAATGCAGGTAAAGGCTTGAAATATAAACTCTGAGATGAACAGGTTTGATTAAGATATCATTTTAAACTACTGTCCTTTTCCTTATTTATTTGTAACTTTGAAAGGAAGATAAATAGCCTTACCGTTGTCATTGGACAAAAAAAATGCAAGTTGGAAGCTTTCACTGAGAAACTTTGAGTGACTTTGATGGCTACCATGAAAGCACCATGGTCTGTTTGATCTTTTGTTGACTAACTGCAGGTTTGGGGATGTTACAATGCATGTTTACATAATGCAGACTAGCTGCAAAGCCTCACCTCAGCTGAAAAGACACAGCTGGTTTTAAAAGCAAGCTAGGCCAGGATATAAAGAAAAAGAAGTTGCATAACACATTATGAAATTTCAAAGGTAATGCGTGAGCTGTACAGCCAGCATGAAAAAAGACAAAAAGATCCTACACTACCAGAAAGGAGTGCAAATAGACTGGGATTTTGTGGAATCCCTTGTAGTTCAAAGCCAACTTAGTGTTCAGGATAGAGCCAAAAACTATTCCCTTTGAGTGTTATTTGTTAAAGCTAATTCAAACATCATCACCAAAGTGGTCTTGCACTAATCCTCCTCCTCCTCAGGAAAATTTGTTTTTACAATTCCTTTCTTATTGCACTGTCCCAGATCCAGGCTGCTCCCACCAGCCAGATTATCTAATGGTGATGCTGAGAGTGAAACCATTTGTGTCACAGGGTGTGACCAGCTCATGCCCAGTATCTGTCCCCTGGATCATTCAATTCCAGTGCCTGGCCTCCTGTGCCCCAGCTGTGCTCAGCTGTGGACAGCAATGCAGTAACACATGGATTTACAGCAGCTGAACATCGGGTGCTTTTGCTGCTTCAGGTGAGTCCTGGCCTAACTGAGGCACAGGGACCTGCAGGGAGCTGAGAGCTGGGTCACAGGAGCCAGAAACAAAATGAAGTAAAACTTCTGCCAGAAGAAGGTGCTGAGGACAGAGCTAGAGCTTCAGGCCTGCCCACAGTAGTCTGTGACTAATGCAAAGTGAAAAAATCCTTAATTAAGATTCTGCAAGATTTTTCCTACAATAACTTAGCAGAAATGGGTTGGATTAGTATCTGCAAGGGGTTGCTGCTGAGGTCCTGAGGTGGCTCAGGGGGGTTATTTCCACTGATATGTAGAGTGGTTTCCTGCACAGAAGGTGCCATCAGGAACATGAGTGGAGTAGTGTCCAGAGGATGTAGTTTGGGAGCCTCACATCCCTGCAGGAGAACATCTGGGGAGTGCTGTAACAGAGGGTTGGATTTTGTCTCCCACAAAAGGAACCCAAGACTGCTGTGTGAACTGAGCAACCTCTGTGAACTCTGTGGTGAGGGAGCCATGGTGGATCGCTTCTGAAGCGCACATTGTTCCAAACCAAAACACTCCTCTAACGTGGCCAACACTTACAGAAAGGGAGAGGGCCAGCCCACTTCTCTTCAAAACACAGAATGTCCCTTGAAACCACAGTGGTGAGGGTTCTTGCCAAAGACCAAGAGTTTAGGTTCACCCCACCTCCATCCTGCAAGGGGTTGGACTTGAATTTCCTTGTGAGTCCCTTCCAATTCAGATATTCTGTGATCTTGGTATCAAACTGCACAGGAGGTAAGTGTTGTTATCTCCATTTGTCCATGGCTGGAAGCTGTGGAAGTCAGTTCATGCCATTCACATCAACTTTACTGCATTGTTATTATTTTTGAAACAGCTGGTGCCAGAGAAGAGCACCTAATGGGCCACTGGGTCTTCTTGATGGCTTTGAAATACTCACATCCTTTTGCTTTTGAAGATACAAACTTTTCCACTGACTCCAGAAGGCTGTGGGATTTGGGCTTCACCTACTGAAATAACCAAGAGAAGATACCCTGATTTTTGCAGTGTTAATTATAAGTCACAACTGTTTATTCCTTGAAATTTTATCATAACTGGTAAAATCTTGGGTGTCAGTGTCCTCGTGCTTCATTGAATATTTTTTGGATATAAGCTGCCTGTTGGTCTGTTCTTAAAAACAACAATTAAATTTGACTGTGTTCTTTAGAGGAAAAGTGAAATTTCAGAGACATCATATCAGTTTGTCCATGATTTATCCTGAAAACTTGTTATGCAAGTGGTGACTAACTATGCCAGTAAACAGAGAGGGAACAATTTTCCAGTTTTGATTGGGTTATTTTCAAATTTACTGTATGAAGATGAACCCATTGCTCTGAGCTCAATGGAAATGGCTCCCCTCCAGCTGAAACATTCATCAAGCTCCATATGGACACTGCCTTGTTTGGGTTTGGAGAAAACCATCCAGGAGCTCGTCAGAATGAGAGCTGCACAGTTCCTACTAAAATTTCAGGTTGATCAATGGGTCAGTACAGGGTATCCCTCTTCAGAGTGCTCTCTTTAAATTCAAGTGTTTTATTTTTTTTTTGTTGAACCTCAAAAGAAGCAGCCTGATAGCAAAAGCTCCTACAAAGTCTGTTATGGAAGCACTTGTGCTTCAGCCTTGGAGGCAAGGCGTGTGGAGAAATGGGGATGTGCACACAGTGTGGTATTCCTGACATTCCTCACAGCAAAGGCTGAGCATGGAGGGGTTTGGGGGACAGGTGAGAAATCTGAGAACACTTTTTAATGAGTGTTGGATCTTGTTTCCTTGGTGGACTGAGTTTAAGTGTTGCTCAGTCAATTTTTTGGCATGATAGTTATCATTTTCAGTGGGGACTTGGAGTAGTGGCTAAAACAAAGGGAATACACCTGCAATCCCTGTGAGAGGTCTCAGTAGACAATTTGAAGAGCAAGAACAAAATGAACACTCAGCAAAAAACCTGGAGAATTTTTTAGTTAAACTGATAGAGGTATTTTAAACTGAAAAATTAGTAGAAATGCCCAGAAATCTTTAAGTAATGGGGGAACAGGCAAAGGAACTTTGTTAATACAGAATTCTTTAACTTTTCTAGAATTTATTTAATGTAAACTCCTCAACAGTGTTGTGACTGTCTGCGAGATTTCAGAGTGCCTTGGCTCTGCTTTCCCATTGCTATGCCTGGCTAAATGTGGAAAATACACTGGGAGCAAGGATTTCTCTGACTAAACACATTTGTGTGAATTTTCTCCCATCTATAACTAGCTTTCACAGTGAAAATTGAATTCTTTTTCATGAAACAAAGTCTTGTTGCCTTGGGGATAAAGACAGTTTTCAGATTGCAATTCATAATTCAGTCTGCAGCAGACTGGGTTTGACCATGAGGACCCTCCTGGGGACCATTTTCATCTTTGTAGCCTGTGGGCTCTCTTCTCTGGGCAGCAACTATTTATTCAATTTCTGAAATAAGTGAGGAAGGAGGGGATGGGACCAGTGTTCCTGAGCTGAAAATGCCCAGCTGATGGATTGTGAACAGGAGAACTAATTTCTGCACACTGCTCTCGCTGGATTCCCAGAGGGCTGCCTTGCCTGAAATGTAATACAGTCACAGCAATTGTAAAAAAATGTGTCAGAAAACACCATTTAAATTAGGCTCAGTTATGGCTTTGAAAGCAAAACACATCTTGCAGTAGTTCCTGAGTAGTCTCCTGTTCTTTGCAAAGTGCAGGCTGTGAGAGGGCTCTGATATTTGGGTTTTTACAGATGATTTACCCCCAAACCCTCCCTCTAATAGTAAATTTACTGTGCTGAGCATCTGCTTCAATGGCCTGAACCAAAGCCTGTTGGAATCAATGAGGAGCTTCTCCTGCCTCAGTCAGCTCTGGTAGAAGGCCTAAGAGAGACATCATGGGAGTTCCTGAGCATTTTAGGTGTTATTTACAGTGGTCTGCTGCTGGGGGAGCACTAAATCACAGAGTTATTAATCTGCAGGGGAATTTAAATGGCAGCCTGCTCTGCTGCTCACACAGCTACAATACCTTTCCTGTTGCAATGATTCATGACAGGTCAAGGGAGCACATGCAGTGGAAATACACTTCATTGTGTTTTATCACTTGTCAAGTCTTATAAACTCAGGGGTTGGGGATTTTTTTTATTTTATTTTGGGATATTCTCATTTTATTCTGGTTGACAGCTATGTGGAGAACTAGAGAGTATCTTCATGTAAGAAAATAGTGCTGGATGCTCTTCTCATCTTAAAATTTAGTATATTTTTCATTTGAAGGCTGTTTCTGCTTACCTCTTTGAGCCCTGGTGTCTCTGGGAACTGTGCTTGAGAAACGAATGCAGCTCAAGCCTTTCCAGGTCCCAGTGGCCAAACTGCTATGGAATGGGAAGGGGACAATCAGCCTTGCCAAAAAAAATTGTTTAACTAAAAGAAGGGCCAGATTTAAGCTCCAAGAGAAGAAATCTTCCATCCATGGGGTGTTTTCACACCACTCCTGCTGTGCTGCTGTCCCTTGAGCCATTTTCAGTGTTTCCAAAGTATTTTTTCACTCCTGATTCTAGCTTTGGACAATTTCCTGACCCTCTGCTTACAGCTGCCTTTCCCCAGGGAGAAGGGTCACCACAAGCTGCTCCTCAGGCAGGATTTGCTTGGTCCTTCATCACCTGCTTAACCTGGATGGGAGCATGGTGCAGTACTGTCCCCTGGGCTAGAAACTGCTGTGATGAACATCATTGTCTGGGAACCTGGTGGGAAAAGGCAGCAAGAGAACATCTTGTTTTCCAGGAACAGGGTGGCAGGGAGGATCTCCACATGCTCTGCAGGGCACTGCTGTGAACCAGCTTTACCAAGCAGCTTTAGATTCCTCTTGGTAAGCAGCAGCCCAGGCTGTCTCTGCTGAGATTCCCTGCAGCACCACGA